CTGATCTTCCATGTCATTTGAGCATCGCGCATTAAAGACAGAGATGTACTCGTTTGATTTGCATAAAATACATGACGAATGATTTTTTAATCAAATCGTTTATGGAGTCACTCTGTTTACTGTACGGTTTTAGGATGAATTTGCGAACGGTTTTCGGCCATAAATTCGAAAAACATTGGTATTGTGCTGGGCCCGGCTGGCATTTCAGGCCTAATTTTCGTTTCGCTTTGTAATAACATTCCGGCGGGCAAGGAGAAACGTAGCCGTTAGAGAGAATGTATGAGAACCGCTAAAATTGGGCCTGATCTCAGGTTAGCATTTTGATTTCACACGAACTGATCACGTGCGAGTCTAAGGGAGTCCTAGGCAGTCTTGGGAAGGACCAATATATCTTTGAGGGGATGGGTTGGGTAATCACCTGCACAGCGAAAGTTGCGAAAAAAACGTTGAAGCCACGGGTAAAAATCGAGCAAATACTTTCCACTATTCACGGGCACCCAAAGAGAATATAGTTCAAAACCACTTAAACATAGCATTGTTGAACGTATTTTAGTATTTAAACGGTAGCTATAGGCATATTTTTATCCCCTAAAAATTTTTCATCTGTTCGAATTTTCTAGCTGAAAGTCTGGTGATCCGAAAATTATAGGGATCAAAACTTACCTTCTCGAAAATTTTAGCCGGAAAAAAGGCTCCCGAAAATTCTAGGTGACCTTTTTAGGGTAAAAATCCGTTTAAAATGGGCAATTATACCATTTTTTAGACGTTCGAAAATCCTAGGAGAGGCAGGCAAGCAAGAAATTTTACAACAAATGTTCCGAAAATTCTAACCGTCTTCCGAGCAGATATTTTCCAAAAATTGACGTTGGGTACCTCTGACTATTATTGTGATTTTTGATGGTTTAAAATACATTTTTGCACAAGCTCTTTGACATAAAACGAAATCTTATACAACCTCAAGGTGAGAGAAAAATATTGCCCAACCCCCTTCCCTTGCAAAAAAATTAATGTTCCATCCATTAGACTCGCACTACTGAGTTTAGCTCGCCCCAGGGAAATATATATATGTTATTTGCCGGCTGGGAGGTCCGTATATAGGTTATTGATAATATTACGCACCTTTTTTTAACAAAATTCCTTTTTTCAGTACATGTTTTATTGCTGTTGTTTAGTGTTACAGTTTTGCAATTTGTACATTTTGCATTTTTTTACTATAATTATTATACAGAAGAACCTCTTTTAAGCGGCCACCCTAAAGAAGGGAAAGGTGGCGCCTAGTTTTTTTTACGTTTATCGAACTAAGTCGACCAACTACAGGTTTTCGATGTTCAGTAAACTTCTTACACGAAAACTTCTTTTCGTCTTAAACTTCTTTCATTTCCTATAGTGGAAATTCAACATTGCCGACTTTTTTTTTCAAATTTCTGAGAATTCTTCTGTAGACATGTAATAAAGACGTTGTGCTAAAGACATTGTTGTATTGCAGTTTAGAAAAATATTACTTTCAGTCGCTGTTGAATGGAGTATTCATAAATAAAAAACGACAACCATCAGACTTTCGGATGCTGTACAAAACTTAAAAAGAACCTTTTTATTACTGCTGAAAGGTTGTATATAGGAGAAATGTTTTTTGTTGTATCTGCGAAATGAGCAACCTGTGACCTGCGGATTAGACCCGCCGGTTTATTGCCATGTTTGAAAATTCTCCTAAGGTCTATTTTTAAACTTTCGCGTGATTTGATCCGTCAATCAAATCGTACGTAATGATTTCGTCTCTAATTTTGTTGAGATCACTTCGTGTTTATATCTACCTGGAGTTATGAAAACCGGGTTAGCAAACATTTTGTAATTTTTCTTAACTTCCCCTGTCTAATAGCTTGTTTACTGTGTTGTTTGCTTATGTCGTTTTTTTTTTTTTATTTGGCTTGTTTTGTGGTTAGGGATTTGTGCAGAAGTGGATGTAGACAGAATTACTATCTCCCCCCACCCCTCATACCATTTTTTTTTTGGTCCCTACCCACCATTCTCTCTTTAATACAAGTGACAGTTATTTGAAATTTGTGCGCGCCTAAAGCTGGTTTCGGTGCGGTTTAGCAGTTTACTTTTAGATATTGGTCACCTTGAGAAACGTTTCCCAAAGAGCATCATCTAAAGCTCTGAGATGAGACAAAGTTATTAGGATACGTAGAGTCTGCGTTGTCCATTATAGTATTATATTCTCGTACGGATCAATCACCCTGATCCGGGCTGAGACAGGAAGGTTCGATATTGTTCGCTTTTCCTAAGGTGACCACTAAGTCCTTGGCTTCGGGAACAGGCTCTTGGGAGTCAAATAAATTAGATGAGAGCAAAATTGTAGGTAAACTTTGACCCGGGCCAAGACTTAGTTTGTTTCTGGTGTGAAAACAAGGCTAAGGTTGTCCCCGCCGACCGTGTGACTCTACATCCGGGAACTTGAATAAGACGAGTGTAAGAGAAAAGTCCACATGTGTTTATTTGCCAATAGGCTGAGTTTTTCCGAGTTATTCGATGATATTTCGCTTATGTTAAACGTGAGAAGATTATGCGTGGTTGTGGATAGTCTTATCAGTGTCTCGAAAGTGTGTAATTGTGTGATTGAACTGCGTGGTTGAACTGCAGTTTCGCCAAAATATTCTGTGCCAGCCATTAATATTGTTTCGTCGGTGTTTAGTTTAGCTGATTGTACCTTGGGAAAGCAACTCTCTACTCAGGAAAATTGGATCTAGGTCTAGTTTCAACGGGCTCTAACGTCATTGAACCATAGGCCGGTTTTTGCAGATAAGAAGGTGATAATTTTTGCCCTATTCACGAAGCTGTGTGGAAAAAAACGTTGAGTGTACATGCAGGGTTGATGTGGGATCGATGTGGGAACGATGTAGAGTCGATGTGGGGTCGATAGGGTCACAGTGGTGGTGGGGGGGAATATAAAAAACTGAGGGGTTGGAGGAGTAGGAGGGAAATAATAAATTGTGGAGGAGAGGGAAGAAAAAGAAAAGGGGGGTTAGTAAAGCACTGAGCGTAATGTAAAAAGAGCTGGCTTGCCTTTTTTGACTATGTTAATAGATTTCTTTTAAATCACTTTGTATTTCATTCTTTCTGCAGTTATTTAAGGGTCATAAAGTTGGTTTCTTGTGTCTTAAGAAACGTGTCTGGTTTCATTGCGAGCATTTATTAGTGGCGTGTTTCAATTAATCCTTCTTAGGTTTTTTTATTGTTTTGTGTTTTTATAATAAAAATTCAAGGTTGTCCCTTGGGTCTAGCTGCAAAGCCAATTTACATGCAAATGTTAGCAAAGCGATTGCAATACATATAGAACGGCGGCTTAGCTAGAGTATTATGCGATTTTTGATACAAGCACCAAACTTTGTAGGAATATTTACATTCCCATGTTGGTGAATTCCTGATATAGTGCCCAGTTAAATTTTCTAATTCAGGCCGATTAGCAGCAAATGAAATTATCAGACCCGAAACCCCCTGCGAAGAACTTTGTCTCGCTCTTTTTGTTTAGATTTAGTGACGTCTTATTTCAAAATACAGGTACAACAATACAGTTGTTATATTTGGATGCGAATTACCGAATTGTTATTTTCTTTTCTTCATTATATAAATGCAGGCCGTAATTTGCAACATATCTGTACATTTTTTTTCTCCTCTTTCTCTTGGTTCGGATGGTAAGAGTTTGTGCTATCTCATTCTAGATGTGCATGCGACTCCGTGCAGCTAGAAAAGAAACTATTCTAGTTATTTATATTAAAAGAGAAAACTGTCAGTTTAAGAAGAGGAAGTAAGAAATAGGTTAATTCTATAAGACGCAAGAAACAGTTCACTTCCTCATAAGCTATTGACTAGTTAAAATGTGTTATTTGCCAGAACGAAACAACTGGAAAACCTCAGTGTCCTGTTGACTGGAGACCGCAAGACTCTGGTGCTGGATACCTTACTTTTGAACAAGAGGGGGAATTAAGTTTAGCAGTTGACTGAAAATGTTTTGACGTGGGAAATGGAATTGCTTCCACTTAAGCAAGTCCTTTGCTATGTGGCATAGGTCTTGTCGAGATGCGTTCAACAGGCTGAACCTGGATCGCATGATGAAAAGAAAAATGCATGTAGGAATCCACAGCGCAAACGAGTATGCGAGATACGCTCGAGTATGTTTCTGTTCGCACGGAGAAGAAGCAGACATGAAAATGATAGTTCATGTAGATGATAGAGTACAAAATGATCACTAGTCAGTCATGATTCGAACTTTCGCCCTTTTTTTCTCGCTCCATTTCCCCCAATATCTTGGAGCCTCGTGGAACAGGCTTATTTAGACTTGAAGGAATTTTGGTTGTCCTGTAGGACAAAAAAAACAACAACATCCTAGCCACTTATCACTTTCCAAAGGCCCTTGTCCCTTGTAAATCGAAGTTAGTTTCTACCTGTCTTCCATGCCCTAACAGTTTGTGATACAACTTCCTTCTTCGCTAGTCATGGAATTGGCAAAATAGTGAACATAGACTTTGCCAGTTTTTTTCTTATTGAAAGGAAGTATTGTTGTTATTGAAACCATGATTGAAATTGCAGTGGAACATCGATATAACGAACCCCTATGACGAAGTCCTCGGTAAAACGAACGATTTTCTTTACCCAACAATAGTAAAATATATGAAAAAGAACCTCGTTATAGGGAACAAGTGCCAGTCACTTGGCCTTTCGTTATATCACTGAGGTTCCACTGTATGAGGATCACCGTACTTGTTTTTGCAGTAGAGCTGCAGAAAGTGCGCACCACTTTCATCACGTGTTTCAAAACGACATGTACGTGGGAAAAAAATGATAGAATTTACATCAAGATAAACCAGTTAGGGCTAGGACATAATGTGATAACGATGAAGCTTGATTTCATTTAAAGTCGTTCAGTATATATAACATCGACTATTGAAAGCCTCGGTGAGAACGGTACGTTGAACTCAACAAAACGTTATGCACAGTTTTCAACACTTTGAGACTCATCTCAGCCAGAAAAAGCTGCTATGGAAAATTCCATTAACGTCTCTCTTCTATCGATGTTTCTGGAGAAGCTAAAAAACTCTTTTTCACGGATGCCATCTTGATATGCGCAGTGAGAGGTGCACAGTGCAAAACTAGAGAAGCACGTTAAGTTTGTTCTGTAACGAAAATGTGAAACTAACTAGGCAACGAAGCTATGTGCAAATTTTAAGGCACATTAAATTTATACAGTCGTTTTAGTTGTAGTTTTATCTCTCTGTTCTTTACCGTTGCCATGGCAACGCTTAGTAAAGGTTAAATTATGACGTGAGATAAACAAGATGTACGTGGTGAACAGGTTGGTATCACTGACTGAAATGAAACTATGTCTTGATAAACTACGAAAAATGAATTTCATTGAATTTTCATGAATTTTAATTAATTGTGGTTTCTATAGAAACTGATGTAATTCCGGCTTGGCACCGTTATCTGAAAATGCTGGTATTGGTGACTACTATCAGGGTGCCAAATTTCATGCTTGTTTCAAAAAGTGCACAATTCACCTGAAATTTCAAGCTATGCCGCCAGACTACTCGATTTTATATTTTCTTTGAGAAATTTATAAATATTAGCGTCGCTGTTAGCCCTGGCTAAATCTATATGTTAAAATGAAATAAACATCACTGCAGCTGACATAAGCAGGCGGCAAAGCAGTGCTGATGTTGGCAGCAAAGAATAACTTCAACACTGTGTTAATAGAGGGATTTTAAGACGAGCACCATTAGTTTTTATCCCTGTTGACGTAAACGTGTAAATAAAGCTGCTGCCGCGAAAGTAAGAAGTACTTCCTTGTATCGCTCCATTGAAAAGTGAGGCTTTTGAAAATCGTATTCCACAAATTAAAACCTGAGCGAAACTGATAAAAAAGTAGCTCTTGAATTGCAAAATTAAACTGGACTTACCTGTGTTGCGAAAAATTATATTGCGTGACTTTTAAACGTGGCATTCTAGAAGGTTCGCGTGAGTTTGTTTATTTTAGGATCTTGTGTAAGCGTTTCTAAAGCGGTATATTTTGTAATCTTTCTACCATTAGACTATTTAGAAAGTTCGAGAATGTTATTGTGAAAGTATGTAAGTAGGCAAGTCCGAACGAAGTTTTAACTAGTTTTCACAAGCGACGAGAGTTTGACGTTAGTCGTGTTTAGTCAAGTGTGACGAAGGCAGCGTTTATTCAAGTTGGCGGAGGCCGTGTAAGTTTATCAAGTTAAGTGCATTTGGCGGAGGCCGTGTAAGTTTAACGAGTTACGTGCTGTTGTGGAGTTTTACTTCTTGGAAACTACTTTCATTGTTGGAATAAATCTTCTTGTTGCTGTTCCGACAACCCTGCGTTCAGTTTAGTTTGCAAGCTACCCGTCCTATAAAAGATTACCCGCGTAACAACCTGTAAGTTTAAGTTTGATGTAAATTCCGGCTATCATATCATCACGGAGTGTAAAGAGATCATAGGAAATTGCACCATCCAATCCCAGCAGTAAAATTTGAGAGAGTGAGCTAATGCTGTACGGAATTGTTCATGAAAAAATACCCGGGTGGGTCCAAAAAACTGATCAGACGGTGTGGGGCATGTGATCCCTTTACACTTCGTGATGATGTGATAGAATTTACATCAAACTTCAACTTACAGGTAAGTCTCGTTTAATTTTACAATTCTATCTCACCATCCTCAGTATAGCTATCCCGTGAGATGTTGAGAGCCAGCATTTGTGAACCCAATATAAACAAAGATAGGGTCCACAGCAGAACTGACTGAACTCAATGATTTATCAGTCTAGAGTAGTGATAAGGAACAATGGGTGCTAGAACGAGCTAAATGTTTCACATCTCTTACAATGCAATTATCACAGTACTGACAAAGAGGTATTCAAAACAGTAGTAGCATTAAGCTTCTTCCTTGTGCATCTCTTTGAGATAATTTTTGGCAAAGGTACACTGGCTTGACCAGCCTGCTGTGCGAAAAATCGTTCCCAAAGGGACATTTGCATGAGACGCAGCAGAAGCTTATGCTGCCCTATTACTGTGTGGTTTGAAACGGATCAGGTCAACCCCTGCTAAACCCAAAGTGGTTTTGACCCAACGTGAGATTGTGTTCTTAGCCACCTGCTTATAAGGCTTTACAAAACTAATGAACAGGCTCGTGATATTCCCACAGAGAGGTTTCATTCGGGCTAAATATTCTTGAACGACTGAAACTGGACAAAGTTCATTATAAGGGATGTAAGCTGGCAACTCAAGTTCATGGAGGTGATAGCCTGGCCTGGTTTGTTTAAGCTTATCCCCTATAGAAACTTTAACAATAGAATCGCTCACAAGCATATTACGAATATGTAATAAATGAGCAGTATGTATCCTCTGTGTTGACATGATAGTTAACAAAGTCACTGGGCATGTCTTAAGAGTCAACATTTTGAGACTCAGTTTCTCAACTGGAGATTACTGGAGTCTTCAAGAAGTTCAGAAACAAAACCGGATCCCATGTTACTGTGTACCGTGGAAGAGAGGGCTTCTGTTGAAAAACCCCTTTCATAAATTGCCTAGTAAGGGGTAATTCTCCAAATGAAATTCCAGTCTGCGACGGTAATACTTGTGACAGTGTGTTCTGTCTACGGTCTACCCAGTGGGTCAGGCAAGTCAGACGTAAGCTCCTCCGATAATAGCACTTCTTCGCTGTTTGCTGTTTTGCGCCACTTTTAAACCTTAAATCTCATTTGTTGACCCTATTCACTTTGTTAGGAAATTATTGCGTCATTGTGGCGGGAAAACTCGTCAGGTGATCTGAAAACTGAACTTTGTACCCGAGTCTTGGAACTGTGTAGTCGTTCGCACTGCGTTCGGAGTCGTGGAGCTGATCGAGTGTGTAGATTGAGTGTAGATCATTAAAATTTTACGCGAATTGAAGTCGATGAATTTTTTAAGTGTAGTACAGAGTACAGAATTCTAAAATATTAACATGTGAAGAAATAAACTTTCATGGGAGTGAAGAATTAAAGCTACGTAGAACTGGTTGTATTACAAATAATTTGTGACACAATTCCCAGAGAAGTGCAGGGGCACCCAATGGTAAATTTTGAAAAAAATACCTAAAAACAGCAAAAAAAGTATGAATAAAACTTTATGAGGCCACCAGTTTAGGCATTTAGGGAGATTCCTGGGAAAAATTTGTTTTGAGGAAAAGATCCGTTGGGTGCCCCTGGAAGTAGTGCGAAGAAGTTGATGAAATATCAAGGTAATTAGTCTTCTGTGATCATATCTGTAATTCTCATGACCACTCTTTTTTACAAAGCATTGATATTACAAGGAGAAATTTTATGCTGATCACTCTTAGGGCTGCGTGTGTGGCCGAGCGATTGACACCTCGAACTCTGGATCTGGAGGTCCGGGGTTTAAGCCTCGTCCGTCGCGTTGTTTCCTTAGACGAGGAACTTTACTCCAGTTGGTCTCTCTTCACCCAGGTGTATAAACAGGTACCGGCGACATACTACTGGGGGTGTGGGGTAACCCTGCGATGGACCAGCATCCCGTCTAGGGGGAGTAGCAATACTCCTAGGCTGCTTCATGCTAAGGAAACCGGTACAAGATCCGGCCGTTTGGGCCTATGGCTCGTGTACTCCTCTACCTTTTACCTCGCTGTTTGCTGCCATTGCTTTTGTCGGCGTGATGAAGCTAAAAACACAGTGTGTTGTACTCGGACGCAAAGACCAGAAAACCCGTGATTTTCTGTAAAATGTAAAATGTTAACCTCGAGGTAAACGAGGTCAGGTCTTCAAAAATTCCGTGTGTCCTCAAGGGAAATTCTTAGAATTCGTACACGTTCGCACCTGAGCGGGAAAGGACGTGCATTGATTGCTGGGATTGAAGGGTGCCGTCTCATGGGATTCCTACATTGAATGATGGGATAATATTCAGTGCTAAAGAGAGTATCACATATTCAATAATTATGAGTCATGATCACTTTCAGAATTCCCCTCACCTGCATCCTTAATGACATTACTACATGTAATTTCTATTTTTGTGCAACTGATTATGTTTGCACCTTACTGTTACAAACCATTAGTTGTCAAAGGTGATTATGTACTACTGTACAGCAAGTGCAAACATTGTCATCGCTGTCGTTCACTTAACAATAAATATTATTTCATCCAATTACCAGCGTTAACTTGTTATTTTCACTGCAGCATTATCTCCATCCATTTCATCCACTCACTACTAATGACACACTTCACAAGTAATAATTATTATCATTCGATACAAATGTTTTTTTCCTTTTCATTGGCCAAGAGCCCACCATGTGACCTGCAAATAACTGCCTACAAATAATGGTGTGCTCATGCGCAATGTCGTTCAATTGTTTTTGGCTTCACTGGCGAAAAATGTCTGATTGGTCGATATGAGACCAGGTGACATAGAGTAAATTCAACATGGCGGCAAAGTTGTCCCTCGTGTGTTTATCCGCAGGAGAAAGAAGAAAAACTGGAGCCGTCCTATGCGGCATTTGTTTGAACGGTCTGGACTTTTTACTATTCTCCTTTTTCCTCCTGTTCCTGTGAGATTCATTTATTGCAATGTTTGCGTTTTGGTTCACCGGGTGAGAATTTCAACTCACTTACAGGCTATGTTTCTAAGAAGAAAATGTGCTATCCTAGCAAAATGGCAAGACTCTAACGTTCCCAAGGGGCCCACTTCATCATGAATGCATAACAGTATTGAACGCTTCAAAGTATTGCACTGCCTTATCACTTGATAATCCGACCGGTCCATAGTTTTGTAGTTAGTTTCTTTCCTTTTTATTCTTTAAAACTTAGCATGTGCTTGATCCGATTAACAGTATGCACAGCAACAATCTTAGAAGTAAACGAATATTTTGAGAGCAAAAAAAAAAAATCAAAATAACACCCTATATGTAGAAGCAGATCTAGAGAACATGTTGGTTGGAATATTTATGACTTTGTTTTGGTTGTTCAAGTAATTAGTGTACATGCTAAACCGCTACAAGGGAGTAAAAAGCCCAGATCTTTCCAAGAACACGATTTTTCAGATTGTTATTGATTTTATTTCACTCTGACACAGGTAATTGAAATTCATACTCTCTTGCTGAAGTACAAATGTATCATCAGAAAACTTTGCTAAGTTTGCTGCACTTTGTTTGATTCAGGATCAAGTTCATCTTCTCTGAAAAAAGAAAGTAAATGAATGAGTATATTCAATATTTTTATTGCAATTTTTATTGATTCAAAAGTAAAAAGAAACTATGCTTGATATTATATACATTGTATAAACTTCTTCACTCAGCAACAACTTCTTCAAATACATACTAGCTGTAGTAAACCCATGCATTTATTAGGACTTGGTAATAAAGTTGGGGTTAAAATAATAAATACAACAAAAATCCCTGACAAAGAACCCGCATTTTCCCCCATTAATGGTAATTGACACAAATTTGGGCTATAAATTTAGGTTCTTAACTGGGTTCCTGGAAAAAATGCATTGTAGCTAAGAGTATTTAGTGGTGTTCAGCTTATTCCTTATATTAAATCCTCACGCCATTACATTGTAGTTGGAGCAATGAGGCACCTATGTCTCCAAAGAGGATCCTGAATGTTGACTTATTTGTCCGAGTGTACAGAATGTTTTTTTATAGATTTTAGAAAATAAAAACCTGTTTCAAATTTTACCCTCAACAGTTTCTTGTATAGAGGGGCCTAGCTTGTACATTTTAGCCTAACAGGTTCTTAAAAACCAGATTCTTAGTCACAGATTTTTACTGTATGGGCAATATTACAGTGAGTTTATGAAGTTTAAATTAAAGCATATCTGTTACATTGTTAACGAACAAAATTATGTTAGCTTGTTTTGAAAGCTCAAACTAAGTAGGAACTTGCATGTCATGCTCCAAAGTACTATTTATCAAGATGATACAACCTAAAGTTTTACAAATTTTGTCTAAAAACACAATAGAGCAAAGAATGTTAACCCAAACTATTAATTTCTGTAAGCTCATTTTTTTGAGGGCGTGATTACCTTCAGAAAATGTGCCATATCTTATACCTTGAAATGAGGATTCCTTTGCAGCTGGTTTTCTTTCACTTAGTATTTGCGCCTAAACGCTTATAGACAGAAAATTTAAAAACAGAGCTGCCTGCCAGAAAAGCCATTTAAACGAAAGACACATTAGGGCCATTTATACGAGGAAAAATAAGACGCGTCTTACATAGGACACGTCTTAAATAAGACGCGAGCTTTCCCTATAAACGGCACATTTCGTCTAAAATAAGACGCTGCTTAGCTAAGACGCGTCTTATTTTAGAGCAGCCCTTAACACCTGTTCTGAGATAAGATGCGTCTTAGCTAAGACGAGAAAAACTTCGTATAAATGACCTTCGCGTCTTAAATAAGACGCGAACGCATAGTACGCATGCGTTAATTTTTGGCGCGTCACGTTGGATTGCCGTTGCTACGGGCAACATTCACGAGTCAAGAAAAGAACTAAGATGCGAACCATTTATACGAGCTGTTCTCGTCTTAGATAAGACATGCTCATATAAATGGTACAGTTCGCGTCTTACTTAAGACGCGTCTTATGTAAGACGCGTCTTATTTTTCCTTGTATAAATGGCCCTATTATCCACCCTTTCTCTAAGATATTATTAGCAAGCAGAGAGGTAAACACGGAGAACCGACACCTTTGTAATTGATGTAGATGATTCCAAATCAGATTTTTAACAGAATTCTTTAATCGAATCATCGATCCCTTTAATTGCACGCTTGACAGCTGTACCCAGTGTCAACAGAAAATTTCTAGCATAGATAATTTTGACCGCAAGTTGGTTCCATTAAAATACATTGTGGAATTTTTCATAACCGAAAGAGTCTATTTTAGCATTTTACAAGACTCTCACGTTCTGGAAATTCGGCAATAAGCCTAAAATGTCCAAAATATACAGTACTATAACCTCAGGTTCAACTTAAAAAGGAAATGTTCGATCGATCAAAATCGTGTCGAATTTTAATAGCAGCAAAAGTGGGACAGTACGCGGCTTTCAATACAAAACTGCCGCTTCCTTACCACTCGGTATAAGTTAATTTATATGCCAAAACAAAGTCAAAGAATATTGCTTTCCCTGCAATATAATTTTCCGTTGCACTGATAGGCAGAAGACTTGAACCAAGCGCAAGTCTCTGCGATGAACAGTGTATGCGAGCTCAGTTTAACAGTCAGAATATTTGTTTCAATCAATGAAAAGGCGCCCGTAACGGTAAGCTACCTTTTTCCTGCAACTAGGTGCAAGCTAAGTCAAATTTATCCCTCCACTTTTTAATTTTCTGTGAACTTGAATCACGCATCAAAATTCAAATATTTCTAAATGATTACAGACCGAATGGCGGCCAAGCTGGAGAACACAATCGGGTCGATTTATAGCTCGACGTGCAACTCGGTACACGCTAACTCATATACCAAAACAAAGTCCAAGAATTTTTCTTCCACTGTTATATAATTTCTTGTTGTACCGAGTTGCACGAGACTTGCACTAAACATAAAAGGAGAAAATTACCCACCTTTTTAGCATGTTCTCTCCTCGCATCCAGCGATCGCAACGCCGATCTCAGTTAAATGAATCGAGCCAGTGCGTTTGTCTTTCAGTTCTTGGATGCATTATCTTCTAGACAACACATATCACTAAAAATTTCGACCACAATAATTTTCGATCTCTCACAGAGGCCACAACACTACCACTGACAAAAATAGCTGCCATTTCTTCTTTCATCTTGACAACATTTCGCGGGGATTTTACCTCTAAGCCAGTGACTTTACCGAAAATCGACCAAGTGATACTGATCGCGCCGCATGCGTAGACATTTTTCGCCCGTGAAGTTTTTGGCTGCAAATACTATTCTACTCATGCGTAAATAAAACCACGCTTTTCTCCTTCTTGCGATCGCTTTTGCGTTAAAATGGCAGATCGCTTCGCTTCCCGAAGATATTCCTTAAAAAAAAAACTCGGTGTTCGAATGATAAATTGATCTGCTCACCACTGACAAATCACTATATTTTGCTCAACCTCGTCTAATAGATGCTAATAGGGTGAACATGGGATCTATGAAACATTGGCTTCCCTTCCTTAACAACACCAACCCATTCAAATCAAAGAAAATCCCTTTTAACGACAGAGTACTGAGTTCATAATTTACTCCAACCAAAAGGAACTGCATCTCTCCGTCCAATATTAGAGCTAGGTGTTGAAACCTGCCCTCCCCAGCTACACAATTTACTCCAATTCTCTCCCCCTTCCACCCCAGACATTTTATAGGCGTCCCTTCCCCCTAGGTTCGCGAGGAGCTGCGATACACGTATTTCTAGTTATTATTATTATTATTATTATTATTATTATTATTATTATTATTATGAGTTATTATTCCCACATACATTCTTATATTTCAACTGTTGAATAACCGACACCCAGCACGGAACGCTCATATTTCGACATGTGGTAACGTCAAACATCCTTACCTCGTTTACGTGGAATAAGACTGACATAGTGAAGCTCGGGTACGTGACCCAGCACAAGTCGGTTGCTACCAGTAACATCATACTCTGGGCAGATCATTACGTCATCGTGATGACTGCTGACCACTTGAATGCATGTTTCAAAGTGGTTTGCTGCACCATGGAGAATCACGTGATCACCCCATGTACCGTTTGTCATCATTCTCGTGAGGTAGGCCTCCCAAGATGAATATCCATGAACAAATTGGAACAGATCCGTCCCATCTCGCTGTAAGAGAAAAAAAATACTGTAGTCACTAAAGCTCCTACAAAGATCACAGCCGTACTTTTAGATGTCTCACCACTTTCAAAGAAAGAGCCTGATCAGTAGGGGTTTACATGAGAAGGTGGGATTACTCGGTTACAGAGATCTCGGTAACGGGACGGGAAATTTTTCATATGACCATGCCTACTGAGTTACAGTCAACATCTTCTTCGAGGAAAAAAAATGCAAGCTGAGGATTGTTACTGCCTATTTTTTGGCTCGCTTTGAAAAAATGCTTTTTTCAGATATTCAACGCGGGGGCGGGGAGAGAGGAATTACAAATGCTCATTCAGGTAGTTGTGCTCTTTCGGCTAAAATGCGAGCACATACATAAAGTGCCTTAGATTCAATCAATAGGAATGGAAAGATTTGCCTGAAATGAAAAGGAAAATGTGCTTCAGTAACCCGGGATGTGCTCTGATGATGAGGTTACGTGCTGCAGGCTTAACATTGACTGTGACCCTTGTGCAAGCGAATGCTCGCGCTACTGCCTTCGCTGCTTGCACAATAGTCTACGCAAGAATTATTTCAATTGCAGTCAACGAAACCTAGTAATGTATGTGCCAATGTCCTCACTTTCCGTTCTAACCTGAAATTAGATAAACTAGTACCCATAAGATATATTTTGCTATTTTAACCAAGGATGAACAGACTTGAATAACTTGTGTCAAGACTGAACCTGAAACACTAACCAGCGTAGGGTTTTTCCTCAGATATTGGACTACGGTTTGCCGTAACTCTGCTTGTGAGATTTTAATTCCTTTTTTCAGGTGAAGCTGTTCCGAAAGAGCCAAAAACATGCAGTTTCCCTCTCCTCGATTGTCAGAAATCGAAAAACCTTTTTTCTTGGTGTTTCTCTTGAAATTTTCGGAGATCCCAGTCTTATGATTGTTGGTATCTTCCTTAGCTTGTTGTTCTATTTGTTGAAGAAGATTGAAAATGTGCCTCTCTCGTAGTTCTGTTAATGGAAAGAACAATAACAAAACTTTTGATTCTCTTTGAAGAGATAAGGAGCTAACGTAAGATGAGTAAGCCTGGCTTCTTCACCTCTTCATCTAAAGAAAAATATTTCTGCCAATCGAGAACAACGGCGCTGTTTCTTTCAGTTTAATTTTCTAAGTAAGGTCTATAATGCGCTTGAATTTTACCAGTAAAAAAAATATATATATATATATACAAATATATTTACAAAATGGACACACAATCACATAACGATCTACCGCAGAATAATAGTACTAAGACCTACAAGAAAGTATACCCGGACACAGCAGTAGTATACTATCTTGAAACTGAATCTCGTTGGTGCGTTCCCTTTGCGTTCCGTGTGCGTTCCCTTAATTAATAGGCATAAGGGTCGAGTCTATGACGTCACCCATTGTTTTATCCTAGAGAAAAAAATGCGTTCCTCCATACTAATTAAGTGCCCAGTCAGTGTCTTCCTGAATACTAATTCGGTATAGGTTTACTAATGAGCGTCATTCTACTACAATAGGAACAATAGGCTTGCCTAAACTTGCCCGGTAAGTAACTTGAGCCCGGTTTTCGGACCGTCTATTAAAAGCAAATAGGAATAAGAGAAGCGATCACCTAGCAACGCGAGAAATGGCTTCCCATATCTTATTTAGCGCTAAAACTCAGATATATAAACAAAACACACACAGAAAGTGGAGTTGAAAAGTCTTCATTTCAATAAAGTTTACGTCTTCTTATTTAGTGCTAAAACTCCGATATATAAACAAAACACTCGCACATATACACAAAGTGGGGCTGAAATACACAGCGATTTGAAAGAAATCTATTAAAACAGTCAAAGAAAGCAAACCATCCTTTTTTTTTTTTTTTTTACACTGCGCACAATGTTTTACCTACCGTTCTCTTTGGTTTAGGCGGGAAAACTGAAGATCTTGTGAAGGTAGGTGTTACGCCGCAAAATGTAATATTAACGCAAAATGTAATAAGAATCGCCGCAAAATGTAATACTAACGCAAAGTGTAATAACATTGACGCAAAATGTAATAAAATTTTCAACGCAAAATGTAATAATCTTTCAACGCAAATTGTAATAACTTTTCTAACGCATAATGTAATAACGCAAAATGTAATAATTTCCGAATAACGACGTGCATGCTATTTCAAAATTGGTATGGTGGCTCAGTAATCAGTAGCTGATCCAGATCTTCATTTGAATTATTATTATAATTATTGATATTAATAATAGTAATAATATTTCTTCTTCTTCTTCTTCTTCTTCTTCTTCTTATTATTATTATTGTTATTATTAATGAAATAACGGTTGAAACGTCGTGTTACTTCCGTGCTGAGCCAGTCTCCTTCGCAGCCGTGTTTTGTCTCGTCACGCAACAAAGGAGGAGGAGCGTTGCGTGACGAGACAAAAATGGCTGCAAGAGCTTGCTGTACTGTACCACAACTGTAGCAACTGAGAGACTTGGCTTAATTTCAGATGTTGAATTTAATTCAGTCAAATAAAATAGCTGTCGTCGAAAACAAGTAATAGAATCAACTTTCAAAGCATAATTCAAATGCATTTAAAATATAGGATATCTGTCACACTTTTTTTCATGAGAACCAGACAACTTTGGATGTAGCTTACTTTTCCTAAGTTCTCACTTAATAAAGGCTGAACTGTTCTTAATGTTGTTTTTAAGGTCGAAGTTTCTTTTATGTTGAAGTTTCCAAGCTTTGCAAAGTCAGATCAGTTTGCCTTGTAAGGCAGCTGTCGTTTGCCTAGAACAGATAGCGCAAAATATTTTAAGTTAGCCCAGTAACGCATTTTTGATTGGAGTAGAGCTAAGCTGATGCACAAAAATATTGAATTTGCCTGGCAAGGCAGTTGTGATTAGAAGACAGGCTATCCTTTTTTTTCTCCGTTTAGCGTCGTCCGACCGACCCAAATTTTTGGCATTTTCAAAAAAAAGAGTAACGACGTAGTTAAACCATTTTTCACTTGAAATAATTCTTTTCATCTGAAAAATGAGCATAGTAACAGCATAGAGAAAAACAAGAACAAAGACATGAACTTTTTTTTACAGTACATCGTGCATTTTGTTAATCCAAATATGTGAATGTTGACTTTTAACGTCGTCCTGGGGTACCAGGGACTCCTATTCTGAGACTTCTTGTGATTTTGTTTTTTAGTTTTTTTTTTTCAATCCGACCGACCGACTCAATAGCAGGAAACGCATTCGACACTAAACGAAACCTTGAATTTGTTCAGCAACGCAATCGCCATTGGCTTAGAGTTGACGGCACCAAATCTTGAACTGGGAGATCCATAAAAGTGCTGTCGTTAGGTTACGAGAGATAATTAACTCTGTTCAGTGGGTCAGCGCCTGGCTAAGTTTCATCGCGGCAGGGTACGGATGGTTCTTTATTAGACATATCTACTGGAAACAAAAAAGCCACTATTAATGTCCTTTGAGGCTACAACTCGTCCGTTCATATTTTATCACCGTTTCTGTTTTCCTATGTAACAATCATAATTATCATATTATAAGCTATTTCTCTTTTTTCGTTAACCATCTTCCGTTATATGAGGGAAAAATGTGGTGCTGTGAACAGGATTATATTTCTGCCGTATGAAAGCCTTGAGTTGCATGGTTTAATGTATTATATAATCGATTCCTAAATGTCAGCGAATAAAAACGGTTATTGTTGCGTTCCTTGCTTTGAAGATAATAAATGGTGTTCTGGTTCCGTATGTACATAAATAACGTTATAGCCCTACCCTTGCACCCTGAACTAATGTTCAACGAAAATTTCATAGCTACTCATGTGGCTTCGTTTATGACATACAAATTGTATAGTACGTTTTATTTGTTTGAGTAGTCAGGGAAATACTCACACCAGTAGTCACCCATTTCATCTCTAGAAACATTTCCCGAATTTTCAATCTAACTATTCTGTCTTTTGTAGCTTTAGACATCTAACAGAAAATGTGCAATAATTCAAGAGAGGTTAGAGCTACATAATATATTACTTCTGTATCGGGACCTGTATTACGTTCAAATCAGCGGAAACAAACGTCCGATTAGGTTCCCTAAAGATGATTGATCTCCTCATTTCGACTGTTTCATTGTAATATTAGAAATAATAATAATAATAATAATATTAACATTAATATCAATAACAATAATACCTTATGATTTAATTGAAGATCTGGATTCGCTACCGATGACTGAGCAAAAATACCGATTTTGAAATAGCATGCACGTCGTTATTCGGAAATTATTACATTTTGCGTTATTACATTATGCGTTAGAAAAGTTATTAGAATTTGCGTAGAAAGATTATTACATTCTGCGTTGAAAATGTTATTACATTTTGAGTTAGTATTACATTTTGCGGCGATTCTTATTACATTTTGCGTTAATATTACATTTTGCGGCGTAACAGTAGGTAAAATGTGTTTCTGTCAAAGTTCGCATTTCGCTGCACATTGAATTACATCGTTTCAGTTTGCACTCTGTTCTCGCCAAATACTCAACAGAAATAACTACCTTTTGGAGAACGTCGAGCAAAAAAGAACAAGGTTTTCTTCCAAGTAAAAATTACAAGTTAACTGTTTCACATTTTCCAGCAAGAGAACAGGAAACTTCAGCAACAGTTCCATAAAAGAAAAGTGAAGAAAATTATTTTTCCCCGCTGCTTCTGGCTGCAACTTACTTGGTCGGGTTTAACTTAAATATGCAATTTCCAAAGCGGCAAAACTGATTTTACATAGCTTGTTTGCTTTTAAAATAAGCGCGCTAAATCTGCGACGAATACTCGAAGATCGACTCACTAACACTGACTTAAATCTTTTTTTTTTTTTATGTCGGAAAAAGGGATTGTTTACTGGGTAACATCAAACATCTTTACCTCCTTTAGGTGGAATAAGACTGACATAGTGAAGCTCATGCACGTGACCCAGTACAAGGCGGGTGCTAGGAGTAACATCATACTCTGGGCAGATCATTACTTCATCGTGATGACTGCTTATCACGTGAATGCATGTTTTAAAGAGTTTTGCTGTACCATGGAGGATCACGTGATCACCCCATGTACCATCTGCCATCATGCGTGCGAGATACGCATCCCAAGATGAATATCCGTCGACGAAATGAAAGAGCTCCGTACCATCCGGCTGTGAGAAAAAAAATACTGTAGTTCAGTAAAGCTCCTACAAAGAGCACAGCCGTGCTTCTAAATGCCTCACCACTTTTAAAGAAAGGGAGGGATTGGTAGGGGTTCACATGAGAAGGTAGGATTGCTCGGTTACAGATTTTTCGGTTAACGGGACGTGAAGTTTTTTATATGGCCATGCCTACCGAGTTGCAGTCAACATCGTCGTTGGAAAAAAAAGCCAGCTCTGTATTATTACTGGCTATTTTTGGTTTGCATTGAAAAAATGCCATTTTAGATATTCGACGGGGTGGGGGGGGGGGGGGGGGTGGGGGGATTTAAAATGCTCATTCAGAGAGCTGTGCTCTTTCGGCTGAAATGCGATCACATACATAAAATGCCTTAGATTCAATCAATAGGAATGGAAAGATTGCCTAAAAGGACCGGGGCACGCTCTGATGATGAGGTTTCGTGGTGCAGGCTTAACCCTATTCAGACTGGGCTTTTTTGGTCAATCTGTGACTGGGGGGGGGGGGCTCCTCGGACCCCCCCCCCCCTGTATCTCTGGAACCAATAATGCTAGGGTCATGAAATTTACACACAATGATCATCTCCGTACAAAGAAGCCCCACACCCAGTTTTGCCTTGCCACGCCCAATGATGACGTCACAGTGACGTCATATTCTGATTTTTCAATGTTTCTTATTATTTTTCCACCTAGATACGTAAAATATCAATAATATTGGTAAAGTCTCTTTGTTATCCTTTCTTATGAACTAGTAACAAGGAAACACTTGTACAGCTAGAACAAGCAATAGGAAGCAATAAAATTTAAAATTTGAAATGGTTGTCCACCATCTTGGATCCGCCATCTTGGATTTCCGTTTTTTTGTTAAAATTATAATTTAAAGCAACTTTCAAACGGGAAAAAGCTCAGAATGTATAAAAGGAGTATCAAACTAATGTTTATTACCCAAACAAATGACTTTGGAAGTGTTATTTGGAAAATAGAGTAGCATATTTGTCAAAGCCAAAAAGTGACAAATTTTACCCCACCCCTCCCCCCCAAATATTCGATGTTGAAACATTTTGATGTGATTCAAAAACTAGTCCCAAGCAAAGACCATTTTAACAACAAAAAGCACTATAAGTGTAAAAACGCGATCTTAAAACAAAAAAATCACCATTTTTTAAATTTTCCAAAACCTATGTGTCAGAAACTGGTTGCCATGGCAACATGATTAATCACATGGACATGATAATTATACCAAAATGTTCCTAGATAAATTTTAGGAAAAGCCAGAAAATTTGAACGTCATAGCTCTTTCGAAGTAGGAGTTATCACGATTTTGCCGGAGGGGGGGTTCGAAAAGCCCCCCCCCCCCAGTCTGAATAGGGTTAACATTACGTCTTGTGCAACCGAATGCTCGCGCGTCGGCTAGACTACTGCCTTCGCTGCTTGCACAATAGTCTACACAAGAATCATTTCAATTGCAGTCAACGAATCTTAGTAATGTATGCACCAATGTACTCACTTTCCGTTCTAACCTGAAATTAGATAAACTAGAACCCATAAGATATATTTTGATATTTTAACCAAGGATGAACAGACTTGAATAACTTGTGTCAAGAAACCTGAAACACTAACCAGCGTAGGGTTTTTCCTCAGATATTGGACTACGGTTTGCCGTAACTCTGCTTGTGAGATTTTAATTCCTTTTTTCAGGTGAAGCTGTTCCGAAAGGGCCAAAAACATGCAGTTTCCCTCTCCTTGATTGTCAGAAATCGAAAAACCTTTTTTCTTGGTGTTTCTCTTGAAATTTTCGGAGATCCCAGTCTTATGATTGTTGGTATCTTCCTTAGCTTGTTGTTCTATTTGTTGAAGAAGATTGAAAATGTGCCTCTCTGGTAGTTCTGTTAATGGAAAGAACAATAACAAAACTTTTGATTCTCTTTGAAGAGATAAGGAGCTAACGTAAGATGAGTAAGCCTGGCTTCTTCACCTCTTCATCTAAAGAAAAATATCTCTGCCAATCGAGAACAACGGCGCTGTTTCTTTCAGTTTAATTTCCCAACTAGGTCTATAATGCGCTTGCATTTTACCAGTAACAAAAAATATATATATATATATATATATAGTTGCCTGATGATTGCTCCGCAAGGAGCATGAAACTCTGAGTAGCAATAAATGTCTTCGACCAAATAATCCAACTCTGCAAATCTACACATCGCTCCAGTTTTCCTATTGAGCACTTTAATAGCTGATGAAATCTTCAATTCATTATATTACTATATATATATTTATTCATTTATTTTTAATTTATTTACAAAATGGACATACAATCATATAACGATCTACCGCAGAATAATAGTACTAAGACCTACAAGAAAGTATACCCGGACACAGCAGTAGTATACTATGTTGAAACTGAACCTCGTTGGTGCGTTCCCTTTGCGTTCCGTGTGCGTTCCCTTAATTAATAGGCATAAGGGTCGAGTCTATGACGTTACCCATTGTTTTATCCTAGAGAAAAAAATGCGTTCCTCCATACTAATTAAGTGCCCAGTCAGTGTCTTCCTGCATACTAATTCGGTATAGGCTTACTAATGAGCGTCATTCTACTACAATAGGAACAATAGTGCTTGCCTAAACTTGCCCGGTAAGTAACTTGAGCCCGGTTTTCGGACCGTCTATTAAAAGCAAATAGGAATAAGAGAAGCGATCACCTAGCAACGCGAGAAATGGCTTCCCATATCTTATTTAGCGCTAAAACTCAGATATATAAACAAAACACACACAGAAAGTGGAGTTGAAAAGTCTTCATTTCAATAAAGTTTACGTCTTCTTATTTAGTGCTAAAACTCCGATATATAAACAAAACACTCGCACATATACACAAAGTGGGGCTGAAAACTCTCTATTTCAATTTTGTCTGACTATTACAGAACTGTTTTCTCCGTTTTATCTCGAAGAAATGAAAAACTATTGAATTCTCAACGTTTCACGCGCCGTAAGTTAGGTAATTATGCGAGTTCACAAACCCAAAGTTGAATACAAATTAGCTCCACAGGAAAAACCTCAAGGGAGCATATTGACGTATTCATTTTATAAAACAAATAACTTAACAAGGATCAATTGATTAAAAACGCGACTAATAATTGCTAGCAATAAAATCAGAGACGAGATACCGTTTAAAACAAAAAGAGTCAAATACACAGCGATTTGAAAGAAATCTATTAAAACAGTCAAAGAAAGCAAACCATCCTTTTTTTTTTTTTTTTTTTTTTACACTGTGCACAATGTTTTACCTACCGTTCTCTTTGGTTAAGGCGGGAAAATTGAAGATTTTTTGAAGGTGGGTAAAATGTGTTTCTGTCAAAGTTTGAATTTCGCTGCACATTGAATTACATCGTTTCAGTTTGCACTCTGTTCTCGCCAAATACTCAACAGAAATAACTACCTTTTGGAGAACGTCGAGCAAAAAAGAACAAGGTTTTCTTCCAAGTAAAAATTACAAATTAACTGTTTCACATTTTCCAGCAAGAGAACAAGAAACTTCAGCAACAGTTCCATAAAAGAAAAGTGAAGAAAATTATTTTTCCCCGCTGCTTCTGGCTGCAACTTACCTGGTCGGGTTTAACTTAAATATGCAATTTCCAAAGCGGCAAAACTGATTTTACATAGCTTGTTTGTTTTTAAAATAAGCGCGCTAAATCTGCGACGAATACTCGAAGATCGACTCACTAACACTGACTTAAATCTTTTTTTTTTATGTCGGAAAAAGGGATTGTTTACTGGGTAACATCAAACATCTTTACCTCCTTTATGTGGAATAAGACTGACATAGTGAAGCTCATGCACGTGACCCAGTACAAGGCGGGTGCTAGCAGTAACATCATACTCTGGGCAGATCATTACTTCATCGTGATGACTGCTTATCACGTGAATGCATGTTTTAAAGAGTTTTGCTGTACCATGGAGGATCACGTGATCACCCCATGTACCATCTGCCATCATGCGTGCGAGATACGCATCCCAAGATGAATATCCGTCGACGAAATGAAAGAGATCTGTACCATCCGGCTGTGAGAAAAATACTGTAGTTCAGTAAAGCTCCTACAAAGAGCACAGCCGTGCTTCTAAATACCTCACCACTTTTAAAGAAAGGGAGGGATTGGTAGGGGTTTACATGAGAAGGTAGGATTGCTCGGTTACAGATTTTTCGGTTAATGCAACGGGGATCTCGGTAACGGCACGTGAAGTTTTTCATATGGCCATGCCTACCGAGTTACAGTCAACATCGTCGTTGGAAAAAAAGCCAGCTCTGTATTATTACTGGCTATTTTTGGTTTGCATTGAAAAAATGCCATTTTAGATACTCGACGGGGTGGGGGGGGGGGGAGGGGATTTAAAATGCTCATTCAGGGAGCTGTGCTCTTTCGGCTGAAATGCGATCACATACATAAAGTGCCTTAGATTCAATCAAGAGGGATGGAAAGATTGCCTAAAAGGAAAAGGAAAATGTACTTCAGTAACCCGGGGCACGCTCTGATGATGAGGTTTCGTGGTGCAGGCTTAACATTACGTCTTGTGCAACCGAATGCTCGCGCGTCGGCTAGACTACTGCCTTCGCTGCTTGCACAATAGTCTACACAAGAATCATTTTAATTGCAGTCAACGAAACTCAGTCATGTATGCGCCAATGTACTCACTTTCCGTTCTAACCTGAAATTAGATAAAATAGAACCCATAAGATATATTTTGATATTTTAACCAAGGATGAACAGACTTGAATAACTTGTGTCAAGAAACCTGAAACACTAACCAGCGTAGGGTTTTTCCTCAGATATTGGACTACGGTTTGCCGTAACTCTGCTTGTGAGATTTTAATTCCTTTTTTCAGGTGAAGCTGTTCCGAAAGGGCCAAAAACATGCAGTTTCCCTCTCCTTGATTGTCAGAAATCGAAAAACCTTTTTCCTTGGTGTTTCTCTTGAAATTTTCGGAGATCCCAGTCTTATGATTGTTGGTATCTTCCTTAGCTTGTTGTTCTATTTGTTGAAGAAGATTGAAAATGTGCCTCTCTGGTAGTTCTGTTAATGGAAAGAACAATATAAAAACTTTTGATTCTCTTTGAAGAGATAAGGAGCTAACGTAAGATGAATAAGCCTGGCTTCTTCGCCTCTTCATCTAAAGAAAAATATTTCTGCTAATCGAGAACAACGGTGCTGTTTCGTTCAGTTTAATTTTCTAAGTAAGGTCTATAATGCGCTTGAATTTTACCAGTAAGAAAAAAAATATATATATATGTTGCATAAAAAACGGTCCTTGTGAAAAAGTGTCATTTTTATTTAAAAAAGCTGCTTTTTCACAAATTGACCGGTTATAAAAATACTGCTTTTTTGCAACAATATATTTTTGTAAAAAAGCTGCTTTTTTACAAGTTAACCGGTTGTAAAAATACTGCTTTTTTACAAAAACATATTTTTGTAAAAAAGCTGCTTTTTTACAAGTTACATGGTTGTAAAAATACTGCTTTTTTACAAAAATATATTTTTGTAAAAAAAGCAGTTTTTTTATGTAAAAAAGCTGCTTTTTTACAAGTTAACCGGTTGCAAAAATACCGCTTTTAAGCTGCTTTTTTACAAAATATATTTTTGTAAAAAAGCTGCTTTTTTATGTAAATATTTGTTTTTTTACAAAAGATATTTTTGTAAGAAAGCTACCTTTTTATGTGAAAATCCTGCTATTTACACATATACATTTTCGTGAAAAAAGAGCTTCATGCAATAATCGGTTTAACTGAAAACAAAATGCTTGGTTATAATGCTTTGATGCAGTGGACAAATAAATTATAACTCCATTTCTAGCATAAGAACTTTTAAATTGCAATTTAAAAGTTCTGTACGTTAACGGCTAGTTAGTCACCCTGAAGAAGATCACTGAATGTGATCGAAATATAGGTGGATTGAAAGGAAACTGTTTTCTGTCTTCATTTGTCATTGTTACCTGGAGTTATGAAAACCGGGTTAGCAAACATTTTGTAATTTTTCTCAACTTCCGCTGTCTAATAGCTTGTTTACTGTGTTGTTTGCTTATGTCGTTTGTTTTTTTGGCTTGTCTTGTGGTTAGAGATTTGTGTAGAAGTGGATGTAGACAGAAAGGTACGATATTGTTCGTTTTTCTAAGGTGACCACTAAGTCTTTGGCCTCGGGAACAGGCTCTTAGGAGTCAAATGAATTAGTTGAGAGCAAAATTGCAGCTGAACTTTGACCCGGGCCAAGACTTAGTATTTTTCTGGTGTGAAAACAAGGCTAAGGTGATCCGCCGCCCGTGTGACTCTACATCCTGGAACTTGAATAAGACGAGTGTAAGAGAAAGGTCCAGAGGTATTTATATCTGGCAACAGGCTGAGTTTTTCCGAGTTATTCGATGATATTTCGCTTATGTTAAACGTGAGAAGATTATGCGTGGTTGTGGATAGTCTTATCAGTGCCGCGAAAGTGTGTGATTGTGTGATTTCCGCATGCTGTTGACAGGTATGTGATTGCGTGGTTGAACTGCGGTTTCGCCAAAATATTCTGTGCCAGCCATTAATATTGTTTCGTCGGTGTTTAGCTTAGCTGATTGTACCTTGGAAAAGCAACTCGCGACTCAGGAAAATTAGATCTAGGTCTAGTTTCAGCAGGCTCTAATGGCATTGCACCATAGGCCGGTTTTTGCAGACAAGAAGGTGATAATTTGTGCACTATGTTTCATTCAGTTTGTAGTCTATTCCATGCGGAATCCTGTTGTTTATCGGACCGTCCAAAAAGTAGTGTTTTGCTAACTATTTAAGTTGTCATGTAAGCCTTAACCAGGCACTCTTTCGCTGCAGCTCACTCAACTTAAAAATTTCTAGACTGAAATGACACCGGTTTGAAACTTCGCGAAGTCAGTTTACTGAATAAAAAATCCAGGTATATATATATATATATATAACATAACAAAAGCAAACCGCGCGCTCTGATTGGTCAGTTAGCCACTACCATTTGCCCGTGGGTGCACGCCAAGAAACTAAGCTAGCGCGGTAAAATTTAGGCAAATTCAACAAATCTCCTCTCCTGACGGTAAAATACACAGATGAAATGCACAGATGAAAAGTGGAAGTTGAAGAAAATACTTAGCTGTCGTTTTGAAGGAAAAAAGACAAAAGATCAAGCGACAAATTTACCCTGGATGAATTAATCACTGTTTTCCTCGCGGCTAGAATCGGCTGAAGGATAATCGAGCGAGCGAAGATTTAAGGTACATTTTGTATGTTTTTTATAGAAGAGAAAGTCTGTTTGAAATGTAAATTTATCAATTAGCATTGTGTTATTGACTTTTTGGTCAAGCTGATGCTAAATTCAAGCAAATATTTTAGGAAACACGCCCAAATTCGAGACAGCTTAGTTGTGAAGTTTTCATCGCATCGATTAAAAATTTTAGTTGAGTTTAAACGGCACATTACGCTGGAATAAGCGAATTTCATTTGAGTACAGAAACATTTGGGTTTTCAAATAAATTTTTCAAAAAATGACTTCTGTGTGTATTATTTTGTTCCTCGGTGTTCATTCATAACAGTCGTTCAGAGAACGGTCGAAAAACAACAGCTTCAGCGTCGCTGTGTGTTGGCGAATTTCAGTTTTAACTTTGACTTTCATAGCTGCATTTCCCCAGACAGATTTCGATACAAAGCTAGTTAATTTCTTTTTAAAATTAGTGTTACCTGTTATTCTAAAGGAATTACCTTCAAATTTTCTCATTTCTACTTTGCGTTTATTTCAAAAATTGTCACATAAATAAGATTGATAATTATTTCATTTATTTAGTTTTAGCTTGTTTTTTAGAGTCTTTTTAGTTGGTGTTTATAGTTGCAGCTATAGTTTTCCCTCAAAGTTTTTACCCTAATATTAAGAGCAAGTAGACAGATGCCATTCAGAATAACGACGAAAAACGTTTTGCAATTTACCTGAAGACGGAGAACGGTTGATTCAGCGAAAGAAAAACTCAAAGGCAAGTTTTTGAAAAACATAGAACATGATTTGTTTACGCGCGGGCAGGTGGCAGCATACTTGAACTCGTACCGATGATTCAACCGAAGACAAATGGAAAATAATGTTTTTCTCTTTTGATTATGTTATAAAAGAAATGGTAAACGTTGCTGCTGTGCAACCATGGAGTTATGGATGCACTTGGGAGGTTTGCTAAGCACTCAAGAAGCTTGAGTCGCACTCGGCTATCGCCTCGTGCGACTCTTACGCTTCTTTTGTGCTTAGCAACCTCCCGCGTGCATCCATAACTCCATGGTTGCACGCTGCACGTTTACCATTTCTTATATATATATATATATATACTTGTATTCTGGGTAGAACGTATTCCGTAGAGCGCTCAATTCATTTAATCATGAACTCGCTAGTTCGTTTCGCTTTGTAGCCTAAACAGGCGAAACGAACTAGCGAGTTCATGCCCCCACAGAAACAGATATGTACTTCAGAACTCTAGAGTAACGTAACTAAGACACAATCCATCTGTTACCTAGATACTATCTCTTAACGCATCCCTATATTTACTGCCAGCTTTTAATTTTAACGGTCAATCGTTGAAGTTGCCTGATGAGTGTGGTCCTACAATTTCGGACCATACGAAACAGCACTGTCGCAATAAACGATCAATGATTACTCCTGAAGCCTGAACTCCTGTGATTTTTCATATACATATATAAATAGAGGATATTACACGGTGTCGAGAAGATATGAATTTTATGTTCGAGTGGCAAGAACAATATCTCACGAGTGAGCGAAGCGAACGAGTGAGATATTGTTCTTGCCACGAGAACATAAAATTCATATCTTCTCGACACCGTGTAATGTTCTTTTCATTATATGGAGAAACCAATTCAACAAAAGCAAAAGGCGGGAATCGTGACGTCATTGAACAATACGACACTCACAAAGGTGACATACGGAAAATACGCCACTCGGGTCCCGGATGAAGTGGCGTATGGAATCTACGAGTGGTTTAGTTCCCAGTAAAACACTCTCCTCCATTTAATAAATATATATATATATATATATATATATATATATATATATATATATATATATATATATATATATATATATATATATATATATATATATATATATATATACATATATATATATATTTTCAAGCATCGATATACTTTCTATAGCTATGGAGGCTCCGAAAGCTCCGTTATAACTACATACACTTCTCTTGCTTTTTCTTAATACAACTGTTGTTTAAATATATATATATATATATATATATATATATATTTAAACAACAGTTGTATTAAGAAAAAGCAAGAGAAGTGTATGTAGTTATAACGGAGCTTTCGGAGCCTCCATAGCTATAGAAAGTACATCGATGCTTGAAAATATCAGAAATATGGCTATGACGCCAGCGTACGCCCGCTCGCACGTCCGTAGAGACTCTGGTAGAGGGGGTAGAGAAGAGAGTCCTAGACCTGGAGCCTTCATTTGTCTTGACCAAAGTCAGCCATTTAAGAGGCAACCTAAGGAATTACTAGGGTAAAAATCTTGAAGTTTCTTGTATTTGAGTTAGACGAAATCTTAAAAAAATATGTTTTTAAGGCCTTGCTTTTAGCTTCGTCACGCTTTTAGTCAAACTCCAGGACCAACCTGGTCTAAGATTGGTCAAAATTTTGGCAGGTGAATTCATGCGTCACGAAAAGGCTTTTGCAGCATCTTGAAATTTGTCTACCCGGCAGCACCTAATTGACGCTTCTTGTCATTTTAAGTGTTAAACGTTTTGTATTCATCCACTGCCGCCACAAAATAAAATACCACCGCTATATCAAGATTCTTCTGTTATTCAAAGCTGGTATGTTTATGTGGTTTTTGGGTCGCAGCAGGATTCCTCGGTGGCTGCGTTTGTGAAAGTTTATGCACGCTTTTACAGCAGACTACAGGAAAAACCCTTAAGGACCTTAAGAGCGGATGTCTGTAAATATCGACCAGAGGTGGGAAAAATATATAATTTTTCAAAAATCCCCCCAAAATTCTGTAGACTACCCTAGGTATTCTGGAAATGAAAATATAAATTTTAGTTTCATTGGGTAAGTATTTTGGCGATACGGCGAATGTCAAGTTCGGGCGATTTACGGCCTCCGCCAGACCTCTTTTTCGGGCCTCTAGACCGGGCTACGAAAAGACCGCGATTTCAATCGAATTCAAATATCATCCAACCCAAAAAGTTCTTATCGTATTAAAAGGGTTTTAATACAAATATTGAGTGGTCATGTTCTTGAATTGATTGCAACTGAAATATTTTATGGATTTTTAAATATTTACAAAATTTTAAGGATTTTACGCGAGCAAAATGTTGTCAAATTTCAAAGGCCTAAAATTACATCCGATACATGATTTCAAACAGAAAAAGACATTCCAAATTAAAAAGCAATCTCTAAGCTTTCAAAATGTGCTTTCAAAACTCTGGGCAACATATGAAATGAATTTTTGGGAACGCAAAATTCACGGCGCACTTTAGTGTAATTTGACCTTTCTGACTTGACAGTACAGTTAAGAGCGACATAAATCAATTCTCCAACAAATGTTTCAGCCAAAATACGTTTAATTTAGGCAATCTCAAGTCTCACAGTGATACAGAGATGCTTCATATACATTAGGTGGAAAGTTTCGTGCCATTTTGTCAGCTGTAAAGAACTCTTATCCTTCAGGTGCAGTATTTGAACTCTCGCCTCGCCAATGTAAACATGTGGGTCAAGTGCTTATCACGAAACAACAACGTTTTCAAAAGCTACACCAAATATCTATCCTGTGTAGTATATAATCTGGTCTATTATTTGATTGTTTGTACCTGTGTCCTTGTTTGACTCCATTTCCGCAATGAAACTGAGACAAACCACAGCGAAATTCCCGCGTGCTCGATGTGTCACGAGTCACGTGAATGGGTCGTTTTACAGTCAAGGTAGGTCAAGCGTACCCCCCAAGATT